ATCTTCTAATTTAACATTGTAATGATTTATCATATCGATCACTAAATTTTAAGATTATGTATCAATAAAAAGTTGCTATATGCTCGCCTGTTTAGAATCGTTTTTGACGTCAAAAAGAAATATAATATGACTAAAAGTCTTTTAAATATACCCATTATTTGTATAAGTTCATCAGCGCACAAACTATGAGTCAGAAATCAATATACGACACATAGTTACATACATTTTTTCTAAACTTTCGCATGTAACTAGCGAAATGAAGACCACTGCTTTAATTTATGTTTTTTTTTTGTTATTATTTAGTCTACTAATAGATTTCTACATATAGTAAAAAATAGTTATTTAAAGGTATTCGTTTTTGTGAAATAGACAAAATAGCAATTCTAGATTTCAAAGATATTTATATTCTCAACCTTATGAATAACTATTATATATTATTGTGTTCTATTTCTTATTAACATGTGACATATTTTTGCATTTATTCTGTTCTGTTAATATAAATAATTCATACAATTTTATTCCATATAGTTATTGTACAAGAATGAGAAAAATTTGCATATATTTGTAAAGGGTGTGGATGTGGATGTGGGTGTAGATTCAGACAAGACTCACACCCACACCCTAAATAAACATAAGTAACTAAGTGTTTATTAAAAGTATGTCATTACAAAATTCTCTTACACTTCTTTGTTCGCTATATTTATTAATTTTCTCTATATAAAAATTGTGTCGTTTCTGTGAATGAGCCTATAAAGACAATCAATTGAAACCTGATGAAACCAATATTATGCTTTCTTCTTCTTTGGTATTTTTTGTAAGCTGTGAGAATCAATACGTCATTTTTTATTATTAGTAGATGATGATATTGATGAAGTCAGAAAATACGAAAAAGATGTCATTACCACAGAGTCTGTTCCATCAGATGACGTTGTTACCGTTTGTTGGTAACTTTATGTCCGTTCTTCTTTGTTCTCAATGCTTTCATAGCTCAACATTTGATATCTTTCAAATGTTTACCATAATTTGATAATATAAGAAAAATTTAATGATATTTATGAATTAGAGATAGAACCAATTGTTTTCAATTCTTATAAAATGACCGTCACCACTCTTATGAAATCGCTGAATATAATATTACTACTAGAAGAACATCATCTTCTCGAATTAGATTCGTTAAAGTAAGCATATTTTTAGTGTAGTCGGTTAAATGTAAAATAAAAAATGAACGATCCTTCAACAATATCAACAACAACAACTGTAAAAAATAGTTTAAATTCAATTTTGGAGATAGATGATTATTTAAATCACAATAATGAAATTATTAGCAAAAGTGATGATATAAACATTCGAGATAAAATAAGTTGAAAGTAGAAAAACTGCTATTTTAAAATCAAAATTAATGATACGGTGAATTATATACATAAGTAAACTGCTAGTTGGATATTAACAAATAAAAATAGAAGACTTTCAACAGGTTATTTATCTCGTGTAATATAGACAAGTAAAAATGACAATCTATTCTATATACTCGCCGTTATTAATTTGATTGATTATAATATTATATAAATTAATATATTAACTGTAACTGATGCACTGCATTTCATATTCTTATAAAATTTGTACATATTTTTACGTGATAGTAAGTATTTTAAGGCGCTTTAAAGTACAAGAGTATAGCAAGAAACACAACTGGTTAGAGTTAATTCTTTCAGGAGCTAATATTTAGTATTTAGATAATTACAATTAAATGGTGCATGAACTGAGTGTTCACCGAGTATTTCGAGTCATGCATTGATATCAATGTGAAAAAGCATTATGAAAAAATATTTTCACATGTATTTTTTCTTAGCAATAACGAAAAAAATATTATTTTGTAAAATTGTTTTTTCTTTGCATCCTTACTATCAACGTAGAGTATAGAAGAAGAAAATACCTATTAGATGACAGGATTCTAAAAGAAACAAATGGAAAATTCAATATATTAATGCATAATGGAAATTAAATCTTATTCGATTCTAAAATACATTGTCTACAGTGTTGTCTGAATTGTATCACTGATAAGTCAGAGATGTGTACTGTGCGTACAGAGAGCCGAGATGGTCACTTCGCGCTCACTCTTTGATGATATGTCCGCCGGGTGGGCGCGTCTTTAACCTATTAGATGTTACTTGCTTTTCTTTTGTCTCTTTTTCTTCTTGATGTTTCGAATTTTAGTGCAAGTTAGAGATATGCATTATCCGCACAGAGACGGAGAGCAGGGCGGACGGTTCGCGCTCGTCTCTGTTTTTATATGCCCACTATACTGGCTTTTAAATCATATTATTATAACTTTGTTCAAAATAAATGTATATCAAACACTAAAACTCACGTGATGGAGTTTTATTGTCGGCAGACTTGTTCTTTATGAGATACCATTCGTTTTACTAATTTATTTTGATATTCATTTGTTAAATTCATAAAATAAATCGTAAGCAATGTTGATTAACAATTATCTTAATAATAAATCAACTTAACTTAAAACTAAGTGAATTTCATCATGACGAGCATAATATTGAGATTTGTTTCGAAACTAACTTAGTACAAGTTTAATTTCAAAGTATGCTAAGATTGAAACAAGTGCCCTATTATAAGATATCTGTGTCTAGTTATATTTTGCCTAATTAAATATTCTTTCATGGTATTTTCAACTTTATATTGTTATTCATACGTGAGTGTTCAACAATGAAACACTATTTCTGCACACCGACTTCATCTTATTTGATAGGCGCGGTACACATCTCTGTTACAAATATATACTAAAATTTCAAAAATGACTAAATATTATCAATAAATCTCTCATAATGAAAAGAAAATATTGATAATTATGCATCATAATGCATATGAACAACTATGAATTACAGATTTTTTAATCCTTTTCGTTGTTCGTTTCGCTGAGTATGATTGACAGAAATATTTACCATGATCTTATGGAACACGTATAACGTCTCACATTTTTTGACTATGCACTGTAATAATCATGAGCTCGTTTGCTACTCGAATAATATGGCAAAATAGATATATACTTTCTAAAAATATATGGTGTGCATAATGAGCATATTTTTTTTTCATTTAAATTTGTCCTACTCGTTCTTCATAAAGAAATATTGCTTTGCTTGTTACTTTATTGATTTCAATCATCATACCACATAGTCTTGAATAAAAATAATTCAGCTAATGCATAATTGAAAAGGAAGCTGTATAAATCTTTCTATCTTTTGCATACTCATTTTTTTTTCTGCTGCCAAAGATCTAACATATTCGTTATAAAACATGGAAACTCAACCACTAAATAGGAGTCTTGATCAACTCATTCATTCAGAATATTAAATGCAATTGATTAAATACTCCTACAATGAATTTTAGTTTGCAATAAATCTATTGTTTAAAATTGTTTCGTTTCTCCTAATCTTATGATGTTCTATTGATAATTTCTTCATACTTTTTTGTGTTATTTTAATACGATTCTTTTTAATCAAGTCAAAATTATGAATGTAAGCAATAAAAATTGTTAAATTGATATGAATGAAACTATACAAGTCTCTATTTAAAAATGGATCGATAGTTTTGTTGACTTTTTTATACGGACTTTATACCTTTTGATCGTGAATCAAATGATCGACAGGTTGCTTTGTTTTTCATTCTCGACAGATTTCTTCATTCTACAGCTGCATCCAATAATATAAAAAGAAATTAGTTAACAGAAGTTTCTATTATTCCTTTTCAGTGTTTATTACATAGACGTATAAAAAGCTCTGTTCTAAGATTATTTATCATGTGTTTTGTGAGCATAAGATTGTCTGTTTTTTTTATTTTTGTATAAGAGAGAAACAATCTATTGCATGAATATTGAAATTTTTTGGAATTCACTACATCTTTGTGGGCTATAATCTATATTATATTATGACTTTGAGCTAGCCGACGATTACTTAGCTAGCCTATAAAAAATATTTGAGGTTTCACAAAGATTTTATTTTAGATTTTCATTTGTCAAAAACTATATAAAAGAATATCAATGATTATTTTGCTTCTATTTCTATTGATTCCTTCAATTGGTATTAATGCAACTCATTTCAATGGTGGTACTATCACATGGGCACGTACTGATCCTTATACTAATTCATCTTCAGTTGGCATAACTATTACACAAATTTATTCATGGAGTTATCCTACTGTATCTTGTAACACAGGTGTTCCAGTGTCAAGTGGCTACGGCAATGCAAATCTGGCTTGCATCGCTAATTGTTCAACTGATGGTGGTTATTCAAATGCACCTGTCGACATTTTAACTGATTGTACTTATTATAGTTCTACATTAGGCATGATGTCAAGTGAACGATCAGTCAATATTACGCTTAACACTGGTGCATATTTTTATTTAGCATATAAAGGAAGTGCTTGGAGAAATTTGTATACTAATTCAAAAAGTGGTCTTGGTTGGTCTGTTGTAGCTTTAATTGATCTTCGCTTACGACCTGATGGTATAATTAATAGTGCACCAGTAGTAAATATTCTTTCACCTCAGTACATTTTTGTAAATACAATGACTCTCATTGATATACCTGTATCAGATTTCAATACAGGTGATGATGTACGTTGTCGATGGGCAGTTAATGAAGCAAATGGATCGTTTAAGGAATGTAGTGAGATATGTTATCCAGGTGGCTTACCAAATGATACAACTCTATCCAACTGTACTATTTCGCTTACAGGACTAATATCAAATGTCTGGTATCCTATTGCTTTACAGGTATTTACTAGTATTAATAGTAGAGTAATAAATTAACTTTATATTTCTAAAGGTAGAAGATTTTATCAATAAAACAAGTACTGTACCAATGAGTTCAGTACCAGTTCAATTTTTAATTTATGTTCAAGCAACACCAGCATGTACAATATTACCTGTTATTGTTTCTTTGACAGATTGTTTAGAAGTTCAAGTTGGTGTAACAACGAACTTTACTTTATATATAGAGAATTTATGCAATTCCAGTGCAACAATCACTGAAGTTATGATAGCTAAAAAAATTTCTGGTATGACAGCTGGTAGTGTAAAAAATTCGACAACAAATACATTGTCGTATATACAACTAACTTGGACACCACAATCTAGCCAAATTGGAACACAAAAGCTATGTGCATATGCTCATAATAGGTAAAATTTTCGTCATTTTGCTTTTCATTTATCGTCATATATATATATGTTGCTTTTATATTTAATAAGTTTATCGGTACGTTCAAAACAATATTGTGTAACATTCACAGTAACAACATCATCTCCAAACTGTCCAGTGACAACGTAAGTTGTAATCTTATACTAAAAACTAATCTCTAGATTCGTTATGTCACTTGCAGAGTTTCATCAACAAATAATAACGGCATTAACATTCCACTCATTGTCGGTTTATCAATCTTAGCATTATTCCTAGCATTATGCTGTTGTTGTTGTTGGCTCTATCACTTTTTCTGGTATGTCATTCTTTCTGACATTTGATTTTAAAATAAAATATATAAAATAGAATATTAAATAGAAAAAAAAATATTGTAGGATTTGTTTCTTTCTAATAGGGGTGCTGCAGGAAGGCGTCGTCGAAGAAGAACACAAATGGAAGAAAGAATTGAACAACAAAAATATTCTCAATTACTACCATCATTCGTCACTCGAAATCTTTCATTCGACATATTTAATAACAATTATCTATTTCGCAAGGTATCAAACAATCGAGACAACACAAGTATTCGTCGTTTAAGTTTTCAAACATCATTGTTAAGCACACCAAAAAATCGAATATGGTTTACCGATAGTGGAAATAACAGAAACCATAATATCGATCAATCATTTGCAAAAGAAAGCGCTCGATACAATGTATCAGATCGTCATAACAATAATGTTACTGAAGTTCTTCGAAACCAACTATCAACTGTTGGCAACCATGCACAACTCAATAATAGTCAAAGAAAATATAGGAGTAATACTACCACTACAACTAATAATATCAGTAGAAATATAACTACTGAAGATGCGAATGCATCAATATATTACAATGAACCTATGTCTGTCATTAAACTGAACGGAGATGGAACACCAACCGTCCGAAAACATCAAATAATAAAAGTTAATCGTCCTATGACTGTAGCACGACAACGAAGTCGTTCTATAAATAGATGGATTGATAGTCAACCGGTCACAGGAGGCCCTTCATCAAGAATTGGTAGTGTTACTATTACCCGAGTAAGAAGTTTATCTAAGAATAGTAAACCAAACAAAAATAATGAAACGACTAAAGTTCATGAAGGTGATGGAGAACATACAAATAATAAAATAAATGTTACTTCAGTTATACGTAAAAAGTCAAAAAATCGATCACATTAATCAAGACATCGAAAAAATTAATGCCAATGTCATGAACTAAATCATTCATTTCTCTTTGAACTTTAAATGTAACTTTTATATGAACGTTTCAACATATTGATGCGTTCTCGTAGACATTGTAGAAAGAATGAATATTTTAAATAAACAACTCATATCTTATAAATAGTGTATTCGAAAAACCTGAAGTTTTTTATATAATCTAGTGTAGCTAAAGTCTTAGTGTAGAGAAATTTTAAATAGAAATTTAAGAATAGGATTCTACTCGTAATTTTTGATCCTAATGAGGAAATCCCTTAGAGCTTCGATATCTCGAGAATAATGATTCGACGAAATGTATCTCTTTTAGATTTTTCATGCCTCATCTTTATGGGCAAATAAAGGAGCCAAAATAGCTTAACGATTTGGTTATACACACTCATCTGTTTGTTTTTAAAAGAAATAAAAGAATACGTAACTCATACGAATATTACTTTCATATAATGAATGCATATGAAGAAAGAAAACTAGAGACACTATGATGATATCCAAAAGAAAAATAAACTATTAATGTTGACACAGAGAAATTACATTTCGTGGAATTTATAGATTGACGAGAAAACTGATCCTTGTTTTAATAGCTAATAAACAATATCAAATGCAACATATGATCTTGAATAAGACAGTAATTCATGGGAATCGTTACAATTTAGTATTATTCAAATAATCTTCTAATAATCTATATATAACTCCAATGACTCATCTTGCTATTGCCAGTACTGATTTTCCAAAGAAATGCACAATTCAACCGTCTATTAGTATAGTAAAATGAAATCTTAAAATTAACAGAGTTCAGAAGGTTTTTATCTAAAAAAATAATATTACTGTTCATTGATTATACCCGATCACTAAAACAATTGGTTTTTATAATATCGTGTATCTGTCGAATATACTTTATATTGATTGTCAAGTTCCATGACGAAAGAACCACTGAAAAGATTAGAAAATATTTCCATTTGTACCTGTCTTATAGCTATTATCACACAATTCTTTTGTTTAAGTGTAAAAAAAACTGTTCGCCGATTGGTCAAGGCGGATTCATTGATGTTAACACTGCGAAAAGTTCAATTTACTGTCATCTAATATCCATCGAACGATACTATTAATGTTACAAGTCGTCATGATTGATAAGCTATTCGACAATGAACCGAAGTATGAGTCTGTACACTTAATTCGTTGTATATTATATGCTCTCACTGGTGAAACGGTAATAATTCGAGAGAAGAAACAGACTGAAGAAAACAAAAGGAACCTTGCACATAATTTGCTGTACCGTTTACAATGCCCAGAGAAATTCGGATCAACTACTAGTCGCGACATCCATTTTAGTGCGAACTATGCTGGATTCTCTTCCTTGCCTCCAATTACTATACTATTAAGCTTTCCTATTTTCAAAACGACAGGACTAATAGATCCGATAAGCAATACAGAACATAAGACTAATTCTGCAACCATATCATCTCAATGTTTACAGTGTGCTGAGTTATGCGAATCAAATGCTGTTCGCGATATTCATTTTAAAACGAACCCCGCTAAACATAATCTGTCTACGAATACTAAGCCCTCAAGTTTTCCTGATAGTAAATTAATGATGACGAAAGATATAATAAAGACAGCACAATATATAAATGGTTCTGTCAAAACATTTTCTTGTTGGAAATGCGTCAAGAAATTCAAAACTACTCGTAATGGCTTGGGTCACTTCATAAATACACATCATGCATTATTTCTGCGTTCAGATTATGCGTTATCATGTCATCTTGATAATCGCAGAACACTAGTGCAAGAGAAAATGAAGGTATCGTTTATCTATTGGCAGTGCGCAAAGAAACTTAAATATGACAGAAATCTCATAGCTCATTGCATTGATGAGCATGCTAATTTCATTTTGACCATTTACATTGATCCATCCGGTATTCTTCAAAATGAGACAGCAATAGCACAAGAATACATGAAGATTAAGACAGATAAGGTTGTTCCCACAAAATCATCGTTCAGCTCTTCGCAATACTCGAAAAAATTCAAATTGGCCGCTGATTGTTCTAATCATTTCAACAGCAAACATAGTAGATCTGCTCTGTGTACCACTTCTAAACTTCTAAATTCTCTTGATAATCAAACAACAACTATGTAAGAACAACTGTAGAGGATACGACTTATCCAGTGGATGCATCATTTAACATTTCACGATACTCGAAGAAATTTGTTTTCATTACTGATTGCTCAGATCACTTTAATGTTGAACATGTAGAAAGCGCTTCATCAACAACTATCGTGGATGTGGGTGTAGATCTCAATTTCCCCTCTTCCACACCAATAACCCATACCCACACACCGCCTCCTAACAGTTCTCTGTTGAATGGTGAATATTCCAGTTCGTTATCTGTCTTTCATGCATAATTATTCAGAAAATAATTGTACCAATAGTTTTTTGAAAGAGACAGTAGTTTTCGATTTTTGATATAAATAATTTTCTTTCGTAAATTGTTAACCTGTGATTCTGTGAAATATTCGTATCTGTTACTATCAGTTTTTGTTTGCATTTAGTATGAGTAGGTCTATTGTGTCATTGAAATGATTATTAGAAAAAAGATTACTTTGAGACATAGACGGTTGTTGACATTCATTGTTTTTCGTATGATAATTTGTACCTACATTGCTTCTTATTAATAGTCGACTGTGGACAATATCAATTTTTTAAATCACATGAGTCCTGTCCTATGGATCATATATCGTTTTTGTTCGCTGCTATTGGTCTTGATTGCACTTACGTAAAAATGAGTCATATTCAAGAACAATCAGGACCAACAATTACATTACACGCCTATGTTATTTTACGTTCTTTTCTTTTAAGATGATTTTTTTTTGTCTTCAATGGTTTCCAATTAAGAATAGTTTTTATGGGTTGATATGTATTATAGTGAATACAATAAATTACTTTTTTTTCTATTCATGAAACAAAATATTAATACAGAATGAGAAAAAGAAAATACTATTTTATAATCCAGATTAACTATTATTTTGACTTTTATACTTTCAAAACTTTAAATTTTATACCTTATAAAAGTTGTCATTTTTTTTTTTACATTTGAACTAAAATTAGAAAGAATGAAATGTTTTCTTTTTAAACCATAACAATACTTTTTCTTTTAAAAAGAACACTTTTATTATTTTTAAACCTTCGATGAATCGTGATGACGAAAGAAAAAGAAATTCTTATTAATCGATAATCATGACAGCTGTCAACGAGTTTATCAGTGCAAATAATGTTCGATTATTCGAACTTTTGCTAAAAGTAACTTTCTTGTATAAAGAATAATAAATTGAATATTGATTTATTATATTTAAT